CGGATTAGAATGAGTGCGTGAGTATGGTTTTACGCCGTTTTTTAGCAATATTCCAGCAATGTCACGGCAGGGACACCAGTTAACGGATGAGAAACATATAACGAGTGAGAGTATTAATATATTTTCTCTTTATCAAATCACAGCTGTTGAATTATATCTTGGTAGGCAACTCGACACAGGAATAAGCACCTTCTTCAATGAGCATTTGTCACTGTAAAGGGGGTTGGGGAGCCTTGTCGTTAAAGCGTTCGTTCGTCACGCCGAAGACCCGGGTTCGATTCCCGACATGGGTACAATGTGTGAAGGCCATTTTGGGTGTCCCCCGCCGTGATATTGCTGGAATATTGCTAAAAGCGGCGCAAAACCAAAATCACTCCCTCACTGTTACTGTAAAGATCGTCAGCACTGCAGGAATCCGCCCTTTTTGTATAGATTTAGTATTTTTAGCCAAATCGACCGACCCATACAAATGGAATGTGATCAACCTTACACATTTCTTTTCATTTTATCAAGTTAAAATATTGTTGGAGGCAAGCCCAAGGTCACGCAAGTCGTTACCATTTTGATAAAACCCACAAACACAGTCACGATGCTGACATGCAAAGGGTCGTGATCAATACAAATACGTGTCAAGGATTCAAACTCAACATTAGCGGATCCTGCATAACTATGGGGCGCAACTCTGCACAGTGATGTGAAGCTCCTTGTGTAGAACCACTGGGCCCAGGCAACATCTGGTCTGGTTCCGGAAATATGACTTAAACAAAGGGTTAAACAAAAGTTAAAACAGAATCACATTTCGTGTTTATATGCATATGACTTTGAAAAAGATTCACATAGTTAAAACAGAATCACATTTCGTGTTTACACGTATATGACTTTGACAAAGGGTCACATCAGCTAAAACAGAATCACATTTCGTGTTTATATGTATATGACTTTAATAAAGAGTCACATAGTTAAAACAGAATCACATTTCGTGTTTATATGTATATGACTTTAATAAAGAGTCACATAGTTAAAACAGAATCACATTTCGTGTTTACATGTATATGACTTTAAGAAAGAGTCACATAAGTTAAAACAGAATCACATTTCGTGTTTACATGTATATGACTTTGACAAAGGGTCACATAAGTTAAAACAGAATCACATTTCGTGTTTACATGTATATGACTTCAACAAAGAGTCACATAAGTTAAAACAGAATCACATTTCGTGTTTACATGTATATGACTTTAACAAAGGGTCACATAGTTAAAACAGAATCACATGTCGTGTTTACATGTCTATGAATTTAACAAAGGGTTCACATAAGTTAAAACAGAATCACATGTCGTGTTTACATGTATATGACTTAAACAAGGGTTCACATAAGTTAAAACAGAATCATATTTCGTGTTAACACGTATATGACTTTAAGAAAGAGTCACATAAGTTAAAACAGAATCACATTTCGTGTTTACATGTATATGACTTTAACAAAGAGGCACATAAGTTAAACCAGTATACATTGCGTCAGAATGTTTATGCAGCTTTCAACCACTGACCACTTTGGTGAAACCTACGAGCACGGGTATGGTGCTAACAAACCCAGAAACATAATCAGGGCGAACCTGGGACTGGAACCCAGCAAGTCTAACGGACACAACTTGGCCTTAGACGACTATATCCCCCGAAACTGCTCTTGTTAATCTACGACAAAATCATCTACCGATGTCATAAACGTAGCATGTTATACGTGCGCAGATATTTGTTTAAAATATCTAAACCAAATAAAAATGATGATTATTTCTAAAAGAACATTCAATCCCCAAGATGGACTGAGTGCCAAGTGAATAACCACTAACTGAGCAGTGCGATTAAGGTTGTGCTGGGTCACATCCTCAATCAGTTAACGTCACAAAGCGCAATTTGGCAGAATTAAGTAATCGAAAGAGATCTGTTAGTGTTCACAGAATTGTGATTAACACAAGTAGCCCTCAGTGTGATCGACTGGAGTTGTTCAAACATTGCATCCACTGTATATGATGGATCAGTTTTGGATCAATGACGAAAAATGCGCGAAAGGAAAATGTTAAACTTTGCCTTGGCCTGACAGAAGGGATAATTATCCACTGAAATATTTTTTCTGTAGATCTGTTTTTGATAACCCAGAAAAAATATCTCCGTTTTAACTCTTTATATTCCGCAGAACCCGAAAACGTGGATTTTCTGGATTCCGGCTTGTAGGTACGCTTAGAGCAACAGCAGGCGATAGTATCCACGTGTTGTTGCTTGTTGATCAACTATAAACAAAAGGTGTTACACGTGTTTCATATTACATCATTTATTATTTTGGATATGTAAATATTCATGCACACAACTGTCCTTTTTCCTCATATCTGACAGTGCCACCGGACAGTGAGTGAGTTGTGTTTTACGCCGCAAGGAGCCACATTGCCAGATCGTTTTAATGGGGCGCATGGTGGGCTTAACATGTTGTAACCACTTTTGCGACTACGTTAACCACCAGGCCACCTATGTAACCAATTTCACCAGACTATACTTTCAAATATATCTCATTCACAATACTATTATTGTCGTTATGTAACATAGCAACCAGTAAAGAGTTTGACCTATCAAACAGACACCTTTCATCGTTTCATCGAAATTGACGATGTAATGACTTTTTTCACATAAACAAATATATAAATGTTTTGTTCGATCAACTATAATTCATTCAACATTCAACTGGCAACCATAGCGTCATTAAAATGGATTATTTCGTGCATGCTGTTTAAAATGGCATGCTCTCGCCTGTGCATGTTCTAAAATTAGAGATTGTGCCAGACAAAACATCACAAAAACATTACTATTATTGCTTTTTCGCTACGCTGTGTCCCACTGGGAGACATCGACCATAACGACTACCATTGATTGCTCTGACAATGGCACTTTCTTCACACAAATGACTGCCGTTACCAACTGGGGAAACTGTAAAGCCAACAGAATGAGCTTTGTTTCCTACTGGTGTTTATGACGAGTGACAGAGCATCCTCATTCCTGTTGCCTTATCAAGAATCAAATAATACTGCGTCTAGCCAATAACCTCTGCCTGGACCCTTATCTTCTACGCGTGGTAACTTACACCCTATACAGCCTAACGCATAGATATGGTGAGTGAGTGAGTGAGTGTGGGCGGGTGAGTGGGTGGGTGGGTGAGTGAGTGAGTGAGTGAGTGAGTGAGTGAGTGGGTTTTGGATGGGTTCTGGGTGAGTGAGAGAGTGTTGGTGGCTGAGTGGGTGGCTGAGCGGGTGCCTGAGTGAGTGAGTGTGGGTGGGTGGGTGCGTGGGTGAGTGAGTTAGTGAGTGATTGAGTGAGTGGGTTTTTATTGGCGAGTGAGTGAGTGAGTGTTTTTTTTATGGGTTCTGGGTGAGTGAGAGAGTGAGTTGGTTTTATGATTGAGTGAGTGAGTGTGGGTGGTGGTTTGAGTGGGTACGTGAGTGGTTTGGTTTGAGTGAGTGAGTGAGTGAGTGTTTTTTTGTGGGTTCTGGGTGAGTGAGGGATTAAGTGGGTTTTATGAGTGAGTGAGTGTGGGTGGTGGTTTGAGTGAGTACGTGAACGGTTTGGTTTGAGTGATTGAGTGGGTTCTGGGTGAGTGAGAGAGTGAGTGGGTTTTATGAATGAGTGAGTGAGTGTGGGTGGGGGTTTGAGTGAGTACGTGAGTGGTTTGGTTTGAGTGAGTGAGTGAGCTGGTAATGGGTGCGTGGGTAGGTGGCAATGGGTGAGTGAGTGAACGAGTTGGTGGGTACGTAGGTTGGTGACATGGGTAACTGAATGACACGTCATGTCAGCTAAATGTTGGAGAAAAAGTGAACCTATTGATTACCTTTTTAGCGAAAATATAAGCACCAAACCTCGTCCCATAATTATAGGAAATTATTGCTAACCCAAGAGCACATGTGCTTACAGACCAAGGTTCATAAGCAGAGGAATCATAGGATCCTGGCACGAATAAGGGACGCAACTGCGACATCCGTTTGTTTGTCACAAGTATCTACATGCATGCATGACCTGACGAAACACCGTCATTAGTAGCACAACAGGCAGGCATTCACATTAGTTTCTTAGACATTCGCCTCTTTTTAACTGGATGCTACTGTTAAGATAATGACATAATTGAACTTGTTGTGTGGGAGGGAATCGTGTTTAATTTACACGTTTACCAGCTCGACGAAACCTACAAGCAAGAGTAGGGCGGGTCTAAAACTCATGACCAGCGGATCCTCCTTGCAACCAAGGGACGCAACTCTTGTGATATTTTAGGCCACCATTGTTTCAACAACAAGAACTGTATATGTCAGTGAGTGGCTCGAAACAGTTCCTGTAACTATTGTGTTTCGAAGAAAGGTACTGCTGGTTGAGAATAAATTTGATAAAGTTCCTTGTCTTTGCTCCTAAAATAACAAAAACGGACATCCCCTTCCTTGTTTATCTAGGACAATGCAGATTTCATTGACACTACCAAACATCCGTGAACAATGAGTGAGTGAGTGAGTGAGTGAGTGAGTGAGTGAGTGAGTTAGTGAGTGGATGGGTGGGTGAGTGAGTGGGTGGGTGGGTGGGTGGGTGAGTGAGTGAGTGAGTGAGTGAGTGAGTGAGTGAGTGAGTATGTGAGTGGGTGAGTGAGTGAGTGAGTGAGTGTGTGTGTGAATGAGTATGTGAGTGAGTGAGTGAGTGAGTGAGTGAGTGAGTGAGTGGGTGAGTGAGTGAGTGAGTGAGTGTGAGAATGAGTGAGTGAGTGGGTGAGCGAGTGAGTGGCGTTCTGTACGTGTTCCTTATAATTGAACAACCACACCAATTATTTAAAAAAAGAGGAGGATATTAAATTTCCTCATTTGAAACATTTCAACTTACCATATTTTCCCGATTCGTCCACGCAGCTTTAGAATCACAAGAGTTAACGCAGGGGCACGCATGGTAATGCTAATCGTTCTCCAATTCAGATTCCAGATACGCAGTGAGTTGGGGACCACGGGTCTGCCATGAAACGAGGGAAATAAAACTTTACTCTGTGAAATAGTCCGCCCTCGGGGAGATGCGGAAACATATTTATTCGTGCCTAATCGTGTCGCAATAGTAAAAGACGGGCAAGGAATCACACGGAACGGCAAACGCTCTTAAATCAACAGTTATGAAAATGTATGAGGAAAAACTTCAATGAGGCCGCGCTGAGAACGCACTCCAAGTCTATCGTTAGTGAATCTGTTTGCATCGCGATTGACTTGGAAGGAAATTTGAATTTCGAGATAGCACGGCTAGGCCTTGATGTTAATTTGATTATCGTTAGGGCAAGGCTAGCTTCCGGACGAGCGGTCTCCTGCACGGGACCGTCCGTGAACGGCAGTCGCATCACCGCCATGGCTGTGACGGGGTCGCTGTGTCTTTCCTGGTTGGTGTTTCTCAGTATAGGTAAGTATTCACGTTACATCATTTATGTATTCAATGTTAAGGGATTTATGTCCACTGATTATGTTCTACATGTTGACGCGGGTTTGGGATGACTCTTTGGTTTATGGACGTCCTCTCTTTCGTGTATGGATATTCATAATTATTTGCAATATTTCTTGTATTTGGTTTGTTGTTTTGAGTACGATTTTATATTATGTTACACGTGTCAATTCTGTTGTGGAACACCCCCCTGCGTATCTCCTTACATCGAGTGAGTGAGTGGTGTGGGGTTATTAAAAGTATTTCAGTAATGTCACGTCATGTAAGGGAATCCCAAAATAATGCCTGTTTTTGAGTGAGTGAGTGAGTGAGTGAGTTGGGTTTAGCGCCGCTTTCAACAGTATTCCAGTTATATCGCGGCGTGTCAGCTTGATGTGGGAGGAAAGCCCGAAGTGATGCAGGTTTCAGACGTTTACCACTTCGATGAAACCAAGGAACGGGTATAGTGCTGACAAACCTAGTAACTCGTGGCGCCTTAGATGATTGGGCCAACCGTGCACCCGTGCTTTAACCACTAGGCCACCCGACCGCCCTTGTCTCGAAGTTAAAGCATAGTCCCTGCGTATTCCTTCTTTATTCATCATTTTCGGTTGTGTCGAACCTCGGATGACTCAAAGTATTTACGTAGGTCCCTTCAACTTCGACACAACGGTGTTTGACTGTCACCACAAAAACGTGTATACTGCTGACAAGCCGAAGGTCGTATTGAGGCCTCGAACTCGAACACGTTGAAGACAAATATTCGTGTCATTTGGTGTTCGATTAAAGATACACAATTGATGCCCCGTATATCTGAGCAGATGGCATTGTTTGTTCTGTTGAGTTTGAATAATGTTAACCCGTGATATCGATACACCGCCTCGTCAAATTAACTCCTAGTACAAACTCCATCTTACATGTGATGCCCTCTCCATTGAACTCCGGTTAATTCGAAGCTGTTGGAATCTGCAACTTGCCGTGCAGGGATTACCTTAACTCCCAGCCTCCACTGCACGCGGGTTCTAATCCCTGTTCATACTTACAAATACATTACATTAAACAGACATATCAGAGTTACCTACACATTCTGAAGGGGATGAAATAGAACACTTACTTTTAGACACAGTAGCGTGCTATGCTATCCGGGGTGGGGTAGAATATGTCTTCAGCAACCCATGCTTGCTGTAAAAGGAGACTATGTTTGTCTTAAGAAGTGTCGAAGGGGTTCGGGTGATCAGACTCGCTGACTTGGTTGATGCATGTCCCATTTGCTTTGATCGATGTTCATGATATCAATCACTGGATTGTCTAGGCCAGACTCAATTATCTACAGATCGCCGTCATATAGCATGGATATTGCTGAGAGCGGCGTTAAACAACAAACAAACAAAAATCATGGGTTCCTAACCTTCTTTACCAAATACGCATCGGAAACGATGCACACCAACACATCTCAACGCTTGATTCTGACGTGTTGAATTTGTATGCACGCTATTTCAGATGTACTGACAGTCAAGCTTATTTCCCTATATTTTTCTTTTTTCCCTCAATCGTTTTCATCAGAGTACCCATATGATCCGTATGGGTTTTTACAAGACGGCGAATGGCCAGTCAGATAGTTCGAGTAACGATATCGGTGTGTATAAATATAATACAGTTGTTCTATTAATTCTAAGCCTATCATGTAAAACTATTGGGGCGTGGTTACTTCACCAGTAGTTCAAGTCTTTAGAATAGGGGGGCACGGGTGGCCCAGTCGTCTAAGGCGCCGCGATTAGCTGTGCAGAGTTGCGTCCCTTGGGCACGCCAGAAATCTATGATTGTGGGTTCGAATCATGGTTCGCCCCGATTATGTTTCTAGGTTTGTCAGCACCATACCCGTGCTCGTGGGTTTCACCGAAGTGGTAAACGTCTGAGACCTGCATCACTTCGGGCTTTCCTCCCACATTAAGCTGACACGCCGCGATATAACTGGAATACTGTTAAAAGCGGCGTTAAACCCAACTCACTCACTCACTCACTTTAGAATTGAATACATCACTATACATTAAACACGAAAAGCAATTAGAGCGAACACTTTGCAATGGATTACAATCGTGCTATGGTCAGTATGTGAGTATGCATTACGCCGCTTTGAACACAATTCCAGCGATGGCATACCAAAACGTGGGAATCGAAGTCGGACTTGTAGCGTAACGAGTCACCTTATAACATCGGACTGCTCCACCGCCCATTGTGACGTATTGCCCATGTCCCGTTATAACCAATGATGCATATATCCATGAATTTCTAATTTGTTTCATTTTAATTTGGACATTTTCAAAAATTTAATTGCCAGTTATACCACGTTGGATAATTAATACATACGTGGTATAGGATTCAACTATATGCGCAGTGGGATTATCCTATTCCTAATATAACGTGACTCGAGGCAGCATGGCTAAGACAATAGATGTCCTTATAGCGAGATTTCACCGTAGAGCCTCATATCCGTATGGCGAGTTTAAAATACAGGATATGTCTGCAGTGTTAGCGTCAAGGAGAACAGGACGGTTAGAAATAAAACACACTGCAGTGCATTAACAAGATGTTCGACCACGTTGTAATCTCAAGTTTCAAATGCTTACAATCTCTACAACTACTGACGTTTTATTCTGTTCATTTAAGCATTACCGAATACGCTTTTCACAACGAGACACTGTCAATATCGCACCAGACTTCCGGGGTCATGGTCGGCGGGTTTAAAACTCAGGATTTAACCTCGTCCTGGTTTTGACATAAACGTTATCTGCATCTGCAGCATGACCCCTTTAACTCGAAGGGGAAGAGGTGAAAATAACAGTTAAGGAAGTAGAGGTTTGTGACGAGCAAACCATATAGACTTGCCCATCAGGAACTTGAATCTATTCAAACTACGTATACACCATGTTACCAACTGATCAAGGCTTCTGCTTTTTACGCTGAACAACAAAGAGGAATATTGACTATCTGCCGACAAGGACGGTATTTCAGTTAAATGGAAGTGAACTCGCAAACGTTTAAGTGAGCTTTTAATTGAAGACCAGACTGCTGAAAGCGCGTTGGCATCCTCTGTTGAGGTAACGTGTTCACATTCATTCCCTGCTCTGTTGAAAGGAAAGACTTGAAAGTTGATTAATTTGCCGTTAATTGACGCAACTGCTTTCCGTCAAGTTCAAAAACACTAAGAGACTTACATAGATTTATCAAGGGAATTCATGCTTCCAATTTTGGCTTCATTCTGAAAAGAAGACGCTTAACGCTTCTCAAGTTGTGTCAATGCGGAGAACACTAGAATTGGAAGTCATTTATTGTAATCATATTAGGAATCGAACCCGTTTTTCAACGCCATTTCGAGATATCGCTAAACCACTAGGCTATCCCACCAACTCATTTTAAAGAAGGACTCCGTTAAGTTTCGGGTTAGTATAGGTCTTTAGCAACCCATGCTTGCCGTATAGACGACTATACTTGTCCAATGGGATCGGGTGGTCAGGCACGCTGACTTGGTTGATTCATGTCATCGTATCCCGCTTGCGTGGATCGATGCTCACGAGGTCCATCACTGGATTGTATAGTCCAGACTCGATTACTTAGACCGCCGCAAAATATAGCTGGAATATTGCAGAGTGCAGACAATCAATCAATATCAATAAAGGAAATGGTTCAGAATATTTTTTAACTATCAACAGTAAAAATATCGAACTTGTTGAACTTGAAACATATGTGCGGACAGACGTCTTATCAGCACTATGGTTTGGTCACTATATTTGTGTCGAAATACGATAATTTTATTTACATTTGTGTCCCTGGGGACTCGATTTAACGAAGTTTATCGATAAATTAGTATCTTTAAACTTGATGAATATTACCTGAAAGAAATATATACAGTAAACTACGGTTATAACGAACTACGGTTATAGCGAACTCAAAGGACCATACAACCCAGTCGCCTTTTTGTGGCAAGCATGGGTTGCTGAAGACCTATTGTACCCGATGTGTACACCGTACAGATGAACATGGGCGTACACAAAAGTGAAAAAAACCACTGTCCGTTGTACGTGTATTCAGTCCGAGTGTCCATAACGTTCACCTGATGCAGTATCAAGTATGAAACCTTAATACCTATACTCACGACCAAAAGAAAGTTGACAGGTGTAAACATATTTGCTGTATCAAACCAAAATGTAATGTAACGCAAATTTTGCCTTTTTTCAAATAAATCAATAATGTAGATATTTAACCCCAGCCTTAAGGCTAACCGAGTACCTTAGCCTCATCATAGATAAATCCCACATGGGGTTGGGGGGGGGGGGGGGGGGGGGGGAGGGGATGCTCGACGGGAGACATGTCTGGAGGGCGTGCTGGTCATTGCAAGACATTGACGTTATTCTGGCCGAAGAAGTCCCTACAGAGAATGCAATGAGGGTTCTGGAGTAACCCTTTTTGGAGACGGTTCCCTGTTACTTTAGGAATGTGAGCACAACCTCGTCCCTGTATCTTAGACAGTCAGATTACCATTAGTGATGTCGAGTCGCCCTATGCCATGACGCTGCCACCTCCGTCTTGTTCACTTTCGTGAATGCAACCACGAGCGGTGCGTTTCCATCTTCGTCTGAAGACTTGTCCTGCCATCATACTTCGAGAGGCAGGCGAGGATTCCTCGCCACCCGCGTAATTGCCAACGCCTTACACGTCTGGTCCATTGGAATCTTGCCTGACGATGTCTTTGTCAACGTCGTCGTTCTGTAAAGACTGCGAGCTCTGATACCAGCAGCACGCAATCTTCTTGTTACTGCCTATCGACTCACGCGATTCCCTAATGCCATGACTGCAGATGACGTCACTGTCTGCAAGGTTTTACGCATGCGCCAAAGAGCTCGAGCAGAGTTTGAAGGCAGCAAAACACGTGACTCTATCAATTTGGGGACTGCATGACAAGTCTGAGACACTATGTTGCCGAT